TATGGAATTTTTATTGTGAAACAGTTCTTGCAAAGGGGAAAAAAAAAGGTGAGAAGCTGGAAAACAGATGATGGAGGAGAGGATATGGCTTTACCTATAATTCAGAAGAACAAAAAGGGCTTCACTAAAAAAAATTACCAAAATTAGAAAGAAATACTTGGAGATAACTGGGAAGGAGAATGATGCATCATTTTTCCACAGATAGTCCAAAGAAGCATGCTCAGCTGCTTAATAGAGAGTAAACTGGGGAGTAAAAGTAAAAACTTAAAACCTTACTGGATATATGAGTTAAGCACTTATTATTAGAATAAAATCCAATTGGCACATCAGACTACATCATACCACAAAAGCATTAAAACAACCAGCATAGCTTTTATGTCACTCAAGGAATAAAAATTATTTCCTGCCGATTTATCCTCCAAATGCTTCATTCAGCAGAAAAAGCCATGCTGTCCAGCCATGCTGGTACAAATTACTGTTCTCCAGCTGGTACATATCAGTGCTCACTCTTCTCTTTTTTTAAGGAACCTCTTACTGGGCAGAGAGAGGATAGCCTGTTTCCCCTGCCAGTCTTCATCCACTTCCCTTGTCCCAAACAACAGGCAAGGGAAGATAAAACTGCAGCAGATATTTCAAGACTGTTACCTCATTGCATGCCTGGGCAGAGTTCAGTATTTTCCTCTCTTCTTTCAGACAGTTGTGGATGATCATTGCCATGTGTATTGGGTCTTCTTGGAAGTTATCCTAGCATTAGACACGCAGTCTATTGTTAAAGTCCATACACATAATTTCTTGTCTTTCAGTAACTTTCAGATTGGCAAAAAAAATTAGGGTATGACCCCAGTGTGAGCCTCAGGGAACACACTGGTCATAGCCTGCTCCAGGATTACAGGGTATGATGGCCACAACCAGCTCCAAGAGTCAGTTTGCATTGTAGTTCATTGGCATACAGAGACAGGAAAGGGTCAGAGACATTCCTGGGAGATGTGGGATACCACCCGACAGTCCTAGAGAGAGCTCATCCCTCAAGAGGCACCCTCCCACACCTTGCTATGGCTGCTGGTTTAACACACAGTCCAGGCAGGATGCAAATCCCATGTTACTGTTTTACCTGCACACAAAGCTGAAATGTGCTGTGGATTGAGTACTGCCCTGCTCTGCTCAGGATGGTGCTACCCTGGGGGGGTTTCTTTTCCCTAGAGTTCTCAGACTGTAACTGAGCTGATAATTAAACTCTAACTTTCTAACTGTAGCCAATCAAAACAAAAATGGAGCAACACTTAGAATTCTGGCTTTTAAATCAGGATTCTCACACATCCTCTGTGAAAATCCCTCACAGCAGGGTAGCTGCTTAGAGGCATCCAACTGCACTGAAGCAAATGAAGCACATATATAGATAACATATAGATGTGTAGATTGTACAGATAACCCAGGCCTACCTGAAGGTTACGTTTGCTTTTCCTTATGTTGTGCTGCAGCAAAAAGTTGTTTTCTATCAAGAATCTACTGAATTGATCATCAAGCTGTGACAGCAGCTCATGGAACAGGAGTATAGCAAATGATTCATTGTTGGCTGCATGTTCCCTGGAATCATTTAAAGCATGCTTGGGTTAGATACACTTCCAATGCAAGAGCCAAGAAATACACACAGGTGTACTTGATTTTTAATCCCCAACTCTAGTTGTAGAATATGCAAGCATGGAGAATTGCCTTCAGATGTAAGCCAGTTTCATTCTCTTAACTGACCTTACTTTCCTGGATACAGAAATGTTGTTTCTCTATTATTTTTGCCACATTCTGTTCAAATTCATTTACTCAGTCCGTGCACACCAGGAACCTCAAAGTGACCCTGATGTGTGTGCATGTTGTGCCACCCCTCAAAGAGAAGCCACTCCACAGAAAGTCTGGCAGAAGTTCAGAGCCTTCGATGAGTGAGGGACTGATGCTACCAAAGCAGTAACTAACTGGTCCTAAACCAGACCTTTTTGCTCTGGGCCACTGAGAACATTGTGAGCAAGGACACTTACTCCAGGTCTCAGCCCCTCCAGGAAGCCCTGAAGAGGTGCAGGAACACAGGCTGGAGCACCCACACAGCTACTGAAGCATCCCACCAGCAAAAGATCACCCAGCAGCTTGCTTGCTTCCCCAGCCTTCTGCTGCTGCCTGTAACTGCCCTTCTGAGGGCACTGCTTATCACACAACCCAAAGCTGAATTAATTCCTGGGCTTACCAATCCTGGTTTTCCAGCCACTGTGCCAGGTACTGCCTGATCTCCATAGGAAAGCTGTCATCATATAGCTGGTGAACTTGCTCCAAAAACTTGGAATCGAGTTGCTGTAGTTGATACCACTGAGACATTCTGAGGAAGGGGTGAAAAAAAAAGTGTGTAAATGTTTGAGTAGTATTTGGACTGAAGTGGTAAAAAATAACTAATGTCAAGTTTTCACGAACATTGACAGAATTGGAGGATGTGCTGATTTTGGCTGGGATAAAGTTAGTATGGGCTGGTTTGGATTTGTGCAGGAAACAGTGCTGGTAAGGCAGGGATGTTTTGTTACAGCTGAGCAGGGCTTACACAGCATCAAGGCCCTTCTGCTTTTCACCCCACCCCAGCAGTGACGAGGCTGGGGGTGCACGGGGAGCTGGCAGGGGACACAGCTGGGCAGCTGACCCCAGCACCAAGAGTGTGAGTGAAAAATTAGAGACCCCTCTAAGTGCCCATTTTCAGTTGCTGTTTGTATCCACACTTGCCTACTCTGAAAATGGACTACATCTCAAGTCACTTTAAATGGAGAAGGACTGGAAAGATGTTTTTTTTTTATATGTGTTTTAGTTCTCATGATCATAGTTTCAGGCTAAATTCAAGTAACCTGTGCAGCAGATATAGGGTGCTTAAATGAACTAAGACTGTGCAGAATGGCTTCTCTCAGTCCTAACACTTTTGTGAGAGTAGCTTTAGCTCTGATGTAGGGTCTCTAGAAGCAGATCACTTAGCCTTCTAAGGTGCAGGTTATCAGCTTGTAGTGGAAATGGCATGTAAAAATAAATCCAAGGAACAGCCCAGGCTGAGAACATGAGTGGTGAGATGCAAATCCACTCACATCTTTGTTTTTTCATGCTGCTTATAAGACCCATCCAAACAAACAGCAAAGCATCAGGGTGAAGGACTATTTTCTATGCCCCTTCCCACCAAATCCTTTAGTTTTTATACACCAGTGCCCTCAACTGCTGAGTGTGATGTGTGCTAGGTGTGAGAAGCAAAGGAGTTAAAACTGTTATGTTTAAAGTGAGGGCTTGGATGAGGGCTTCTGATGTGTGCTTTTCAGATTACAGCTAACACAGCATTTGAGTGTGCCCAAATAGCAAGTCCCAGAGAGGGAGACTCCATGACCTCCCCGGGCAACTTGTTCCAGCGCTCTGCCACCCTCAGTGTAAAATTCTTCCTCATGTTGAGGTGGAACTTGTTGTGTTTTACTTTGTGGCCACTGCTTCCCATCCTGTTGCTGGGCACCACTGGAGTCTGGCACCATCCTCTTGGCACCCGCCTTTGAGTTATTTATATGTAATGATGAGATCCCCTCTCGGTCTTCTCTACCCCAGACCAAACCGGGCCAGCTCTTGCAGTCTCTCCTTGTAAGAGAGTGCTTCAGGTCCTTCATCATCTCTGTGCCCTTTGCTGGACCCTCTCCAGCAGCTCCTGGTGGTTTTTGTACCTGGGCACAGCACTCCAGATGTGCCTCACTAGGGCGGAGCAGAGGCGGCTGATGGCCCCTCTCGGCGTGCTGGCCACCCGGTGCACTCCAGGGCTCCTTCCTGGCCCTTCTCTACCTCCTTTCCTGCCATTCCCGGGGATCGCGGCCGATGGGGA